GGGATATAAATGAGGTTAATTTTTGATGGCACAAATGTGTTTGCTTTTTGTTATTTGTATATTAACTCCATTTTTAATGCTAGCAACTTTTATTATAGTCCTTTTTAAAGGTCCAATAAAGTACTTTAAAAAAGGTGATTACATTTATTTCGGTAAATCTTTAGTTTTTTTCGACATTAATTGTGAAAACTATTAGAAAATTAAAAAAAAAATGCTATTAATGAGTCATAGGTCGCTTAGTATGGGCCATAACATTAAACTAAATCAACTAATTTCTTTTTTTATGTCCTTTAATTTTGATTCTAATATTGTTTTTCATAAAACGTAAGATTTTTTATTATTAATGAAAATTTATTAAAAAACGTTCATGATTTTGATATTTTCAATCCCGAATAATTAGTGCCATGATCGATCTTATCATACGAGGGTCAAACTGAAAGTTCTTAGAACTGGCCACTTATAAACAATATAATAAAAAAATAATTCTAAAATTTGAAAATATAACTCTTTGCCAATATTACTGAGTATATATTTCATTCATTTGTCATTTGTTTTACGATTTGGCGGCAAATTGAAAATTGTCTGTGTCACGTCATCATGAATTTAACACGAGAAAATTTTCGTGCAATGATTTTTTATGACTTTCGATGTCATTTAAGTCAACAAGAAAGTTATGATAGACTACGATTGGCCTTTCACGATGAAGCCCCATCTCGTGCGACTGTTTACAACTGGTTTAATGAGTTTAAACGTGGTCGCACTAATCCTACTGATGATTTACGTGAGGGACGGCCTTCTACGGTGACGACTGAAGATAACATCTGTGTTGTGCGGCGTATGATAGAGACTGACAAAAGAGTGACCTATCAACAGATTCGGACAAGTTTAGGCATCGGTATGAGTCAAGTGCACAAAATCCTCCACGAACATTTAGCGGTCAGGAAGCTTTGCGCCCGGTGGATACCTCATAATTTGACTGAGGCTCAAAAACTCCATCGTGTGGATTGGTGTCGTAAAATGATTGAAAGATTTAACGGAGGTGACTCAAATGCTGTGTTCGACATACTAACAGGTGACGAAAGCTGGATTTACTGTTATGATCCTAAAACCAAAAGACAATCTGCTCAGTGGGTGTTTCCTTTCGAGGAGTTGCCAACTAAAGTGAAGAGAGATCGAAGTGCGGGAAAAAAAATGGTGGCCTCGTTCTTTGGAAGGATAGGTCATTTTGCAACAATTGTGTTAGAGGATCAAAAAACAGTTTCTGCAGAATGGTACACTACCAATTGTTTGCCACTTGTCTTGGAAGAAGTTCGAGAGAAACGACCTCGCAGTAGGATCCTCCTTCACCACGACAACGCCTCGTCGCACACCGCCAAGCGAACGATCGACTATTTGGCGACATCAAACGTTGAATTACTGGGTCACCCGCCGTATAGCCCCGACCTCGCGTCTTGTGATTTTTATTTATTTCCAAAAATTAAAGAAAAACTTAAAGGAAAGCGGTTTATGAATGCTGAAGAAGCGGTGGCTGCGTATCGCGATGCCATTGAAGAGACCCCTAAGGACGAGTGGGCAAAGTGCTTTTCCCAGTGGTTCCATCGCATGCAGCGGTGTATTGACGTGAATGGACAATATTTTGAAAAGATATAATAAAACTAATAACTGGCTAATGTAATCAGTTTTTGATTTTCTAAGAACTTTCAGTTTGACCCTCGTAACATCTAAAAGTTCGTCATGCTTCAAACACCAATATGCACATACCAATAAATAAATCACAAGAATCGCAACACAATGAAAGTTCGAAACCAATGTCATTACGAATTGTGACGAGACGAATGTCAATATCAACGTCGACCAACACAATAGCGTATGCGCTCTACCGAGAACGGATCTTCCCACCGTGAGCATAACATCCAGTGATATCTTTCAGACATGAACGAATAGTACAGATAGACACAACATTTTAACTAAACTATAAACATCATGATATGTCAATAGGTACAGAATCCATATAGGTACTCGATTGACTACTAGCAAAAATCAAAAATAAATACCTACATTAAACAAAACCTTTTAAACTATTCCCAATACGAAAGCAGCTGAGCAAAAATAAGAAAACATTAATTCACGAGAGTAAGTGTTTGTTTTGCAAAATAAGCTCCGATGTCAGCTAATGATGCAACCCTGCGGGTAACTTCCTTGATGTAAAAACGGATCATAGATTAGAGAGAAATTTATTGTGCTGGTTTGTTGGGTTATATTATAGGATATGGTTTCAAGTACAAGCCTTTAAGTTGATCAGTCATACTGTGTCACTAGTCGAACTTCATCAAGATCAAGCGGAATCAAATTTCAGACACAAAATCTTTAAACTTTATTTCGACATCAATAACAGCTGCATGATTTTAATATATTATTACACACTAGCAAATACTAGGAGAATATAAGTATCCTTTTCTATATCCAAAACACTTCATGAGAGAATGTATGAAAGAAATAAAGTAGACTTTAAACGAGATGAAAATAAGAGTTATTAGAGACATATTATTATTAACTTCAATGGAAATTTCATGAATAACCCCATTTTTTTTAATAAAACGGACTTCATACCTGTCGAAAAAATACGCTGCGTATCGAAGAAACACGCTACTACTTGAATAAACACGCTACGTATTGAAGAAACACAATGGGTATCGGAGAACCACGCTGTGTATTCAAGAACCACGCTGCGTATTGAAGAATCACACAGCGTATTGCCGTATTTATGCAATACGCAATAATTGGATAAACAGTTTTGGATATGTTCTCTCGATTTACTTACGATTTTCATGAAACCGTTGGAGGTATTTATGAAAAAATTTACAGTCACATTTTTCTATAATGATAGCCCATTTTTTTACCTGTCTTAATAAAATAACAAATGCGTATAGGTAAGGATTATTATCTTACACCAGAGTGCCATTTTTCATAGTATCATATCTTAACCTGAAAAACAAACTGAAAACAGACTATATTCCAGTCATGACCGAGCTGTCACATAAATTACAAAGAATGAATTTCTTAATCCTCAATGTAGGTTATTGAAAATCGCAGCCGCGACTACAGTGAAACATACTTTCTCATATAAATTCAAGGAAACCGTTACAGGGAACCAGAGTACGTAAAACAAGGAGCTAATAAATCTCGCTCAAAATGGACAACCCGAACAATTCCTGTGCGGAGCGGTCACGCGCGACTCAATGTTTGTATTAAATAGCAGAATTTATAAACGGCCAGAAACGTACACGATTGATTGAAAGAGAAACGTTGCATTTTAATAATAGAACGGAGAAACTGAAACTGTAAGTAGAGTGCAATGAATGAGAAATTTATTCAAACTCAAGCCGTTTCATTGATAACTAGGTAATATACGCAATCCTTTTGCAATTCTCTTTTGCAATTCAATATACGATTTAATTATGCACATGATTAATAAGAGGCGAACATAACCAACCACTTGTTTCTTGGAAACGTTAAATAATAATTACATTGTTAAATATTATAACCAGTTCAACGTCAATGACAAAACCGGTTCGACTAAGAATACGGATAGTCAGACCTTATCATGGTGTTATTCCCTGATCATTGATATCGTACAAAGAAGTCCATTTAATAAAACGTTATTTCTTAAAAGTTATATGGAACAAATTCCGTGAAATGTGCACACGCATACGATACGAGTGCCAAGAACCCCTCCCTTCCCGAGAGGTATATGATGTGAGAAAGTATTTTAAGAATATAGTAACATATCCAGCAACATAAAAAAGACGGACTGTCGATATTGCCGTTGGGTTCACATGAAATAATAAAAGACATCTCCAAAATGTCTTTGGCTGTATCCTATGCCTAGACAAAAACTGTCATCAGGAATTAATAAGCATATCAAAATTACGTACGTACTTTGTAAGCAGTTTATGACGTGTTTCATTATGACTACAACACCTTTTTGAAAATAGCATGATTATAAAACATATTTATGTTGATTATAATGATTTCTTGGTGATCTATGTAGTACCTAAATATGTATTAATAATTCAAAGGGGTTTTTAAAAATATTTTCATTTTTATAGGTTATAATAATGTAGATTCTGGTCCAAAATTTTCAAATTTATACATATTTAAGGCAAAGACTTCATTTAAGGTCAAGCTTTTTGGATTTTACTTATTAATAGTTATTGTTTCTATAACTATTAGTTAATGTTTATATTCATATTAGTCTACGACTCTTTAATATAACAATATTCTCATCAACCGAAGCTAAGAACACTTTCGATTAAATCATCAATATTCTCTATCATTACGCTTTCATTTGAGACTCCACTCGAGTATATTTGCAGACATCCGATTATTCTTCTTACTTTCACCCCCCAACTTTTAAACCGATTTTCATCAAACATGTCTAAGAACACTTGCACAAAAGTCACCTTTAAAACAAAAACAATTAAATTGAAATCGCTTCATCCGTTCGGTAGCTATGATGCCAAAGACAAACAGACACACACAGACACGTCAAGCATATAAAAATGAGAATGAATAAAAATGAATGAGAGTATGTTAATCATTTTCCACAAATTTCAAAACCAATTGGAACCTTCATTTGAGCCCCTAAACTTTATTTATTTTATAGTTCATAATGCAATTTTATTTTGTGATTAAGAAATACCTCCATATTAATACAAGGAATTCGACAATCAACACGATAAATTTTGTTAAGATATTGGTATAATCTTTAAGTGATCAAAAGGTGATAAGTGACGCAGACACGACGAAGGTCGTTCATTACATAGAGATACCTACATCGTTCTCGCAAACGTTCTTCAATACTAAAATAAATAATATTGCCCAACCGAAACCCATAGCACTCAAGTTGTAAAATTCTACCGAGTATATGGTATGACATCATGATGTTAACAAGTGATTGTATTCTGACTGAAATGCAATAAATAGGTAACGATTCAAACCTTTCTTGGAGTGTTTCTCGCGTTCTTTTTCCTTTTCACGAGCCTTTTTCTCCCGCTTTTCCCTCTCCTGTTTCTCTTTCTCTAACCTTTTCATTTCTTTTTTCATCTCCTTCTCACTTTTTTTCATTTTAGTATCATCAATTTTCTCGGACAGAATAAAAGTTCCACTTTGAATTTTTGGGTCTACTTCTTCTTTGGGACGCATTTTCTAACACAAAAATTTGCGGCACTCGATTCTCACAAGAAAATAACCAAATCCTGTGCAACTCCGAAATTATCTCAGTGTATCGTGAGTGTGAAAAAATTCAATTCGACTTAAGGTTAGCACGAGACATCTGATAGTTTATCGCTCAGGTGGGCACAGTACTACTACCATTGGGCAAAATTCTTATATCGACGTTATTATCACTAGCACTATTGAAAGAATTGTAAACGCGGATCGCGACGATACAGCGATCGTTTAGAGCGTGAGTGATTACCAAATCGTAACACACGCCGACCGTGACGGAGTCTCGGGGGGCACTGGGCACAAGAGCAGTTCGCGAGCGCGAGGAGGCGCAGCCCGCGCCCGCGCCGATCATAGTCGGCGACAGCGGCGGCGGGCGGCGTGCGCGAGCGACCCATTCTATAAATAAAGCTTTACTTCCTATACAGTATGGAATCAGAAGGCGATTTATGGCCGTTGAACCCATCAAAAGCTTTTCACGATGCATGAGTAAGCTAAATTTTGAGACCGATGATCCAATTTCTTTCTACTTACGTTACATTTCATTGCCAAGGTCTTGCTCAAGATGAACTATGAATGCTGTACAATTTCACGGCTGAATTGTTATTATTATAGTTCTCTAACTTTTGAAGCTCGTATCAGATTCCAAGGTTAGTAGTTACTTAAAAACTCCAGATAAAATGATTTGGCTACGTTACACCGAAAAACATTAATGTTAGTTTCTACAAAAAAAGAACATAATTGTCGTAACAAACTTTTTCAAATCATATCCAAGCCAAGTACTATTTACTGGTAATTGCTTGCGACCGAGACAAAAGATAGGAACAAAAACAGAGTATACGACGACCGCAGCAACGGGGCCTGCCCTGAGAAAGCGGCCAACAGCCGACACGCAACACCGGCCACGCCGACATGCCACCGACACGGGATATTACTATCACAACACTCTTTTAACATAACGATTTCATAATATCTGTTACTAATTTAACATTATTATTATGAATTAACAAAACCTCGAATTTAAAAACATAAATTCCTGCCCTTTTCCTCACTTTTTTAAACTGTCAAATCAATATGATAAGGAGAGCTGAGAGTTGTTTGGGTATCAGTAAGTTGTAATAATGTTAAAGAAGGCAGAAGGTAAACAAAATACGACAAGAATAGTACAGGTGTCATTTTCTACAGCACATAAGTCGTCCAAAGTTTCGAAAAAACAGGGCAGATCATACTGCAGAGCACCAGAGACAGGCAGAGATGTATCACACTATGGTTCATAGATTGTTACGACCATGATTTGAAATCGGCATCTCAGGTAGTTGAAACAACAAATCAACTTCGAGAAACCCATACAGTCTCTTAATAGAACGAGAGTTAAGTTTAGTTTCAATCAATTATCTAATTACATAATATTTTCTGTAATATATAATCTATTTAATATTAATTTAATTTGGCCCTATATAGAAATCAACTTCAAGAGACCTGTTGGGACGAACGTAAGCGAGTGGACTATAAGGCCGTATCTCCTAAAATCTTATTTGATCTCCAAATGGTCCAAATCTTTAATTGAAACATCGGTTAGCAAGATTACATTATATGCGCGAACACGAATTATAGAGTTATAAAGATGGGCAAAAGTTACGCTTTCTAACAAATCCAAATATTTTGCTGTACCATCTTGTCGTGTAGTCTTATTCCAAAAGGAAATGCGGGGCGGTAACAGAACTGTTATAATTTGGACTGTTGAGTGCTGCTGAAAATGATAGGTACGCCAACTAGTTAATTAATTAGAGTGAAAATTCAGTATTTATTCAGAACAAATACAACACGATTGAAACGATCTTGAAAGGTGTGCAAGGTGACGGATCTCCGACCAGATGTTAATCTTCAAAATTCGACACTGAAATATGCGTTTGGGAAGAAATTTCATTATAACATAACAAACAGTAGGTTAAAAGTAATAGGTCATTTTGCTTTTTTTTTTTTCTTAAGCTTTTTTATGTGTTACACTTTTTTATATTTTTCTACGTAAAATTTCATATTATTTATATTTTTAACTTTTCACACATATTTTATGTGATTTAGACAATTAAGCTAACCATTTACCAACAATGTCCTATACAAAAAATATAAAGTACTTGAAATATTCATTAAAATATAATATGTGTAATTAATTCGCTCCCACAAATTACGACTCTAATTTGTATTTAATTTAGTCATGTCCAGCACATTTTTACAAGATATTCTAACGAATAATAATAATGCTACCTGTTCGCTCCGAGGAAACCTTATGGAACGCGTTTCTGCAATCAATGAGCAAAGTGCTATAAGAATTGAATTTATTCGCGCTATGCGGCATCCATTTCGTAATTTCAAAGCCGTTTGCCCCAAACGCGTTCATGTATTGAGTTTTGGTAAGACCAGAAAATCTGATAAGGAAAAGGAACGGTCGATGCAATTGTAATTGGCACAGATTTTATAACTTACGTAGATGGAGATAATGTGAATGTCGCATCAATTCGAATGGGTGCTGTAAACTTTAAGTGGGCTGGGGTATTAAATGAGGTAAGTGTTTATTACGTGATTGGTAAAGTACGGTAATTATTACGCTTGCTATAAACCGTAGTTAGTACCTATTGAAAAATACTTATTTGTGTTGAAAGCAAGTTAAGAGTAACAAGTTATTTGCAATGTGTGACAAGTAATTATTAAAATAAATTAAAATACAACTTGCGACGCAATGACATGTTGATTTTACAATTTAGGGTCAGTATCGGTTTCCACAGGTTTCTATGCCTGGCTCTTGCCACCCAGTGTAGTCCAACTCTTTCTATAAAAATGTCTTCCCACCTTTTTTTCGGTCTACCTTTTCTTCTTCTTTCATCTCTCGATATCCATTCAGTCACTTTTTTTGTCCATCTATTATCATCTGTTCTACATACGTGTCCTGCCCACTTCCATTTAAGGAATCTTATGGTTTTATATGACATCTGTGAGTTTTGTCTAGCTCTATGCATTGCCAATAAAAAGCTCTAAAGGTACAAAAAACAAAAGCGACCAGTATAAGTGGAGTAAAGATAATCGAAAATGACATTGGGACATATATATATATTAACATATAATGTAAATATAACAGAATGAGTTGGCAATGGAATGCAATGTGCTTCCTTCATAAAGAAATATAAATTGAGCAATTAAATATCTTAATACCAAACGATACTCCATAACTTAAAAGCTCTATAAATAATATAATAGATACGCTCACTTTGGCATTTCGGAACGTAGTAGCATCGATTTTCAATTCCACTTGATTAAGTGTAGTAACAAAGTAACTGTATACGATACGCTACAGGAGACATTCATACAATATCGTTTGCAGTAATATTTTGAGACATTCTAGACACGTGATAACACGATACTTGAAATACTCGATGTCAACACACCGATTAAAGACACGTTTATACAGTCGTCATGTGACTGTTCATATAACGACTCTGGAAATCTCCCGTAGGTATAAATGTCTTAAGATTTTATAGCGCTATAAAATTTTATTGAGGGTTAAAGATTGCATTAGCTTCCTGTAATCTATCATTTAAGATTAAAGTTCAAAGTAAATTTTGAATTATTGACAAACATAACTTCACTATTATTTAATAAAATAACATAGCCACCGCAATGGAACCCATAAAAATACAATTAACCGATAAATACCGCAATCCTTAATTAAATTAAACATTAATATTTTTTTATCTGCGGCTAATAACATAACACATTGAATCATTCACCACATTGGAAATTATGAGGCAAACATCAACACGTAATATTAACAGTACAGCTACATTTTGTGAGTGTGTCACCTGTTCAATGCTGTTTATTATAAACGCTAATATTTTGTATTCGATAGTTTACCAGTATCGAATTAGAAAAACATCGAATCTTCGGCTATAAATGCGTTGATTGTACGGCAATGGGTTATCTTATCTGCTGACATTTTATGCTCCGCCGCAGATTGCAAAACAGCCAATCGTGTTAGTATTTAATTTAATATAGATTCACTATGAAGGTTAAAACTGTTAGACACTTATATGAATTTGTATAAATAAGTTTTTTTTTTACTTTTGAGGACTTAATCCATTGACGCCGCTAGGAAAAAGTAAAAAATTGAACGTTTTGAAATCATATCTATACTAATATTATAAATAGGAAAGATTTGATTGTATGTTTGCAACGAATAGGCTCCGAAAATACCGGACCGATTTAAATCATTCTTTCACCTAGTAAAAGCTACATCATACGCGGTGAACACAGGCTACATTTTATCCCGAAAAACAAATAGAGGGATGAAAATGGGAAAGGAAAATTGTATAGAGAATTAAAACATTGCCAATATACCACTGTTCACTATTCAATTTGTTATTGTAATTATATCCATGTAAATCGATATCCAAATTAACAGTTCAGGGACCACGCTGGCGAATCGGCTTGCGGAAAGCTAGTAACACATAAATGTTAATCAAGAACTAATAAAGAAGCTAATGGACACGGCACGACTACTTTTTGATTTTCAATATAAATATTCAAACGCGAGACGAAACTTTACTCTCTTTTCTCTAAATAGAGATATGAAGAAACACATAAACAACACAAAGATAAATAAGTTTTTGTACGGTGAAAACAGCTAAGGCCGTGAATTAATCTAGTAGTGTCTAATTCAGAAAAGGCTAAATAAAAAACCTAAAACACAATCGAAGCCTCCGGTGACAAAAAACTGGAAGCCTCCAGCCCCAGGTCGCAGGCCATCGGGACAGCCACGGAGCCGCGAGCTTGCACCTACACTAAGCACGAGGCCGCCGTCGCCGCCACCATTGAGACGGTTATCATCTCCGCTGCGGACCTCACGCTGTCGGTAGACACTGTACGCTATAGTAATACTGCTAATACTACATGGCACTATGCTGGCCAACTCCCACTATTTTATTTCCAATGGCTTGACTTGGATACAAAGTTAAATTATCCCGGTCCCCGCTCCAACATACGACACATGCCGCATCAAAATTTTTAAATTCAGAGTATTCTCAGTAAAAAGAGGCTGTGCTATATCTGAATGCAACCCATGTAGTGTCCAACCGAAACTGGTTTTTCCAACCCAAAACCGAATTTCGGCAACGTTCTCAGTTTCGGCCGAAACCGAAACCAAAACTTCCTTATAAAGATCATATTTTGAGGGAAAAATAAAAAGAATGAGGTATACCAATAAAAGACGTCTGTGAGAAAATGAGCTTATGGCGCTCCGTAGTTTCT